CTTTAACGGTTTACGTTTTGTTGTGTAATTTAAATTGGAGAACTATATATAACTATATATGTACATATATACATACATACTTTAATAGATATATATGTAAATATATATACATATGTAGGTACATATGTATAAAAAAATTAAGTGAATTTATTCGTTGCCTATAAATAAGGTAATTTTTTTCTATCACTACGGTGCCCATATTCAAAGTCACGGACCGAAAATTACAATTATTATTTTTTCGATGTTATAAAATTCCGGGGCAAAATATTATCATAGAAGAAAGTTACCAATGTTCTTTTGATCCCAGGACTTACTGGATGTGAATCCGGGATTCGTTTTATTTATTTAACTTTCTCGGAAAAATTCCAGTAATAATAATAATAGATAGGCGCTTACTCATATTTTGGGCTTTGGCCGAGTTTCTCCTCTGATTCGTGGCATGCGCCTTTATGTTGTCACACAAAGGGGAGGGACCTACAGTTTTACGCCGACTCCGAGAACGGCGATTGCATTTTTATGAGAAGCCGTTTTTCCAGAAATACAATCGGAGGCCGAGGGGCGACCGCTATTAGAAAAAATTGTAATTTTTTTGATGTTGGGTTGAACCGGGTTTGAACCCAGGCCCTGCGGAACGGTAGCGCGCACTGCTAATCACTTAACCACAGCGGCCTCCAATAATACACATAAAAAAAAATAATAGCCAAAAACCTTGCTAAATTGTCTAGTCCAAAATATATTTTGGTTACTGTATGTACTCTTCGATTCGAATCACAAGCAAATAGTAACTGTTTATGGGGTAAATTACTATTATACATACACCAAGATCACTTGAAACTGGTTCATATACACGAAATTTTAAAGAGCTGTTAAGGCGTAGAAATACCGTACGCCGAAAAGAGGACAAACACAAGACATTCAAAGAAATGCAGAACATTTGGCGTCCCATATAAAATAAATAAATTGTCAGGGTAATGGGCTGAAAGAAAGGACAGAGCCGTAATATACAGGACGGGTGGTCACCGTACCTATCACCCTACCTCACTACATTTTATGTATGCATGTATTTATATATGAATCTAGCCTCCTACATTCCAAACTCGATAGCTTTTGTCACGCAAACATTAAAAGCCACAGTTACCGCATTTATTTCTACTTCATAGGCAACATTTACCCAAAAAGTTATAATTTTTATATGTTGACAAGCATACTTACAGGAGTATAAGCATTTCATTTTGAAAGAGGTAGGGATTTCCACTCATGCTAGTATGCTAGTGAAAGCATGAAACATGATTGTTATGCACATACATATGTATATTATTATTTATTGTGGCCTAATATAATTACAACAAAAAGGAATTCAAAACTGTCAGGATGTTTGAAAAACATAGCGCAAGCTTACCGTTTAAGCAAATTTCCGACAAAACGATACCACAGGCATGTTTCGATTTTCACATTAATAGGTTTGTTTTTTTACGTTTTCGGGCTAGTTTCGGGCAAATGAGCGTAAGTACGTAATGTTTTCACAAAAGTGCATAAACTGCCCAAAACCACGGGAGCACAAAAAACCCATTTTCGTGCCCAAAAATAAACGTAAAATCGCAAAAATTATAAATTTAAGATTTGAGCAGCAGCGAACACAATAACGTAAGGTTAATACTCCACTTGATGTTTTTGCACTAATCAATCAAAGGAAAACAGCAAAATATTCACAAATTTATTGGTTAAAATTTGAACGTTTAAATTTCTTTCTCTTCTTCTGTCAGTTTGAGAGTTTTCACAAACTCGTCCGGAAAAATAGTCCGGACAACTTCGGGCTGGTGAGAAGCAACTTTATTTATCAATCCATTTTTTTCGATAGCTTGATGTTTGTGTAAAAGAACAGGCTTTAACACAAATCAAAAGAATTTACAAACATTCTTAAAACTTAAAATTTTTTCCCCGTTAAAATTTGAATTTTTTTCATTCACAATGCAAACTTAAAATGAAAATATCTTGCGAAAATGACCTGATATAGAAGAACGGTATACAGGGCCGTAATCTACGATCCAAAAGTAAGGTTTCGGTGTTTTTTGAGTCATTTTAGCATCCCTACAGTGTAATTAGCATTTGTGAGTTAAGCTAACGTAAATAGAAAAAATAAAAAACGAATTTCAATAGTTTATTTTCAAGAAAAAAGCTTCACTTGCAAACACATTTTGGCATTTTTGATTTTTTGTGAAAAATAATAAACAATACTTGGCAATTTAGAGATCAAATAATTTGAAAAAATAAAATAAATAAAATTAGCTGATCTTTTAAATATGCATTGGGTTAGGCCTATAGGTTAGGTCGAATTGAAGTAAAAAAATTTCCACGATTTGCCAAATCGAGTTATCAAGTATGGTAAAGTACTAACTAAAAACAGAAATATATTTTTTTAATATTAGTTACTGCATGTTATGTAAAACTTTAGCGAAATTAATGATTATTGTAAAAAGAAAACAAAAGTAACTTTTGATTGTACTAAGATCAATATTAAAAAAAATAAAAGTTTTAGGAATGCATTTATTTCAAAAAGTTTAAAGAATTATAAATAAATTGTCTGTACGGGGCTAGTACGAATATGACTTTTATAAATTTAGATTTTTACCACTTTTATAGGGAAAAGTTGATGCGGATTCTCTCTAAAATATCATTTCTGCATGTCACTTTACATCCATCCACTGATATTTCGTCAAATTCTATTATTCCGGGTATGGGCTTCGTTGATGTCCAGAGATGAAAACGATTGACAACGTTTAATTAATTTTTGTTGTTAATGTGAAAAATATATTTCAAATACATACATTTCCGCTGAAAAACGCTAAATAATTTTTTGTTGTTGTTGTAAAAAATATCTATGGCATAAGTAAAATCTAGCGAATGTGCTAATTTTATATCTAAAAAAACATTTCCACTGAGAAATTCGTCCGGAAAGGATTTAAATTTTTTTCTAGAATGATCGAGCAGGAAATTTCGCTATGGGTTACCGCAGATTAAAATATTGTGAATTAAAAGGGAAGAGTAAATATATATACATATATACATATTTTTTCCCAAAAAGAGGAAACTTTAAACCTCGCTGAAAAACTTTGAGAAGAGATGGAAAAAAATATTTTCAGGGTATACGTAAATATTAACTATAGACATTATTTAGTTGAGGCCCAAATATGGCATTCCCGGACCTAATGTGGAAAATTACCGCAAGATTACTTTTATATAGTACCATATTGAATGCTTAAGTATTTAAATTTTCTAAAAGGTTTGAGTATTCGCTGCTGGGAACGCAGGCACAAGTGAGGAAATGTTTCTTATAAAAGCTGTTAGAAAATGTAGGATGCCGTAATTTAACAAAACACGTCCGCTGCGTTCAACAAATCTTTTTATTCTCATTCTAATATAAATTTTCACAATTCAGAAAAACTTATTCGTTCATTTCTATTTTCAACGAGTCACGTACGCATGCTCCCCTTTTACACACATTCAACAACGAGTCGCACAAGTTNGACGTGGTGGTGTTAAAAACAGTTTCACCAGCAATTCCGGTGGGCGTTAGATTGTCATAAAAATATAAACACGTGCGCACATTTGTTGTTAGCGTCTCCATAAACGGCCAAAAGACAATTGAGTGTGGCAGCATTGTTTGCCTACAAAGTGCAATTAATTAGCTGGACGAAATCAAAACAAACTTCGATTATTCGCGTTACTCAATCGCCAATCTGTATGCGATGTTGCAATTAATACTTGTGGCCGCTTTATTATTGTTATTGATATGCACGATTATTTGGTGGCAGCGGAATGCCTGGTTGCTGGTGTGGCGCCTAAATGGCTGGCATGGTTTGGTGCAACAACCATATTTATGGTTTATACTCGTTTTCTATTTGGAGCCAAAGAGTTGAGTGAAAATTATAAAGAACATACAAATATATATACGGACAGATTTGTGCCATATTTATGGTACATTTGATGAATTTTTGGAAATAGCGATTGAAGTTTGGAAAGGCGACAATAGATTTTGTCCAAAGTTTGAGTAAATGCTACTAGTTCATGAAATTCTTAAATTTTATTATTTTTTTTTTCGCAAAAATTTTGCAGGAATGAGTACGACATACGAAAAAATATGGTCAAAATTTGTACTAAATTAAAGAATTTTAAAAATTACTTCAATATGGGGAATATATAAAGTAAATAATGCTCTGTGTGAAAAATTTTCGTGATATATGTACATATATACACACATAAATACGACAACATTGGACGAAATCACTTGATACCCCGCATATTTGACAAAATTTTATTCAATGTCTCGGAAACTAAAAGAGGTATCCAAAAACGGATAACGAAATTTAAAAGAACTTGATTAGTATAGTGCAGCCGCATTCTTAACTAAATTTAGCCCAATTTTCTCGTACAATCCTTATTTATCCGGGCGAACATGCATGCATGCGGTTATCTTCCAAAAAAAAAAAATTAAAAAAAAAAAATTTACATAAACGGCTTTAAAAAATGCACATATATATATATATATATATATATATATGTATATACATAGTAGCAAAAAAACACACAAGGATTAAACTGGCATTAAAACTTAATTTGGCCAAAAATTGATTGCTACGAAAACCAAAGTATTTTCTGAGAAGATCGTATGTCTCAGATACCGTTACAAATTTCTTAAACAATATTTATTTCAGAAGAGCTGGTGACCATTTCTATACAGTGGATACAAATTTTATTGGCTTAGAAGCAACCTAACAAACGAGCGATATCTTATTAAAAAAAAAAAAAAACGAGAATATTTTTTAACAAAAGCGACACTTTATGAAAATGGTTGCTTTCCGTCGATTTTCGCGAAAGAAAAAAAATATTGGAGATTATTTATTTAATCTTCTTTCAAACAGATGGATTCGTATTGTCAAAATAGAAGCATCAGGGAGTATTATTTTTGAGTTGCTGAATTCTGTGGCCAGTTAATATCGGCAACAGCTGCATTGCTCACGGTTGAGAAGAGAGAACGAGGACAAAGTCAAAAAGAGTCCACTCTTTAACTCGATGACATTAATGTTGCTGATATACTCTCATTTTGAATGTATGATGTATTGCGAAACGTCTATCCGCCATCAACTCGTTGTGTAATTTGCTTTGGTTGCAAACCGGTTTCGGCGTTGTGCCATCTTCAGTGCAATTTTTCATTCTCCTTTTTCAGCATCTCTTGGTTCTGATTCAAAAATAAAGTTAACTCTTTTACCTGCTAAATAAAAGTATCAAGCAAAACAGAAGCCTGCATAATAGAGAGCCTGAATGCATTAAATTTATTGTGTTCTATCACTTTTCACTTTTAGAACTCTTGCAAGCAGTTTCTCGCGTAAGACGGCATTTCCAACGACCGCTTGGCATCGTATTTGGCAATAAAACTGTAATTTACGTTGACGATCCCGCCACAATGGAACAGTTTTTCAACGCGCCTGAATGTATAGACAAGTCGTTTTTTCAAGAGGGGTTCTGCTTGCGTCGTGGTCTTTTACACGCTAAAGGTACCTAGTAGGAACTCGAATATCAATCAGCTTAACATAACAAAAGTATGTATGTGTGTGTAGTATTTATAATATACATATGTATGTATCTCCTAAGGCGCTGCCTGGAAATCTCGTCGACGTCAGCTGGACCCGGCCTTTGGTTCTAAAGTTTTACTCAGCTTCATTGACACCTTTAATACTGTGGGCAATCAATTGGTGCATAAATTCGAAACGGAATTGCTTGGAGACAATATTCAATTCAATGTACTTGATGAAATGTTTTGCAGAGCTGTGCTCGAAGTCTCATGTCGTAAGTGTACATATACTGAGGGAAAAAAATTTTAGAATAAAAAAAACGTACTAAATTAAAAAAAAAATACGCATATTAAAGAGCGCCAACCCAACTCGTTTTTCCATCGGAATTATGAAATCTATTGTATTTTGGGATTTCCGCCATATTTTGAGAAAAATATACAAACTTACATGAGCTGTACCAATTTGAAAATACCTCAAAAAATCGAAATTTTTTATAAATAAAATTAGTTTTAAAAGTATTTTTTCCAAAACATCACTTCCGATGATAGAAGAGTTTAAGCTTAGAAGGTCTACATACAAATGATTATTAATTTTATCAACGGAAGCAAAATAATGACATTTTTGAGGGTATTTTCAAATCAGCACAGTTCGCGTAAATTTGATTATTCCGGTGGTGAGTTAACCTAATGTACATATGTATAAAATTTCAAAACTTTTAATAAATGTTTTAATGCATTTTAGAGACAACAATGGGCACTGAAACCAACTTCACAGCTGCAGACACTCAAGGGATTGCAAGAACCTATAGCGAGTAAGCGGCTACATTTTATTAAATTTTGAAAAAATTTTTTGATACTATATTTGTATAACCGCTTTTATTGATCAAGGCTTATGCATATATCAGCGTTGAAGGGCACGAAACCCTGGCTGCAAGTGGATTTCATATTTCGTCTGCTAGATGGCAAAAACTATAAACACTGCAAAGAACTTATGGAACATTTGGAGGACTTTGTAAAAACCGTAAGTTATAAAAATGTGTGGTGATGGAAAGAAGGAAGTGGTTCGCAAACAAAGTTTATAAATACCCCGCTCCTCTAAATTGACAGCGTACTTAGAGAGAAATTGAGTGAGGCATACAAATTTTCATCCTAAACTCGTACTAAGAACAGTAAAAAGTACTACAGTGAAACCTTGATATATCCAAGCTGAAGGACTTGGACAAATGCTGCGTTATATATCGACCCCTAATCGCCAAAAAAGATGTAAGCAAACTTTTTTCCGAAATTTCAGTTTTGATGCAGAAATACTCCTAGATTCATTTCTGTTTCAAAAAGAAAATTTGGAAAACAATGTCGCTTACTTCTATTTGACGGTTAGGGCTCGAAATATCATGATCATATTAATAGGATATCAAAACGTCGCTAGAATAAGAAATACAAAATTTTTGAAAAATTCGCTATAAGTACAGTTTATTTACTTATTTTATTTATTTTTTTTTTATAACGGGCATCTACTCGTCAACATATTTTGACTTTGCTATGTAGTGCTTTTAAGTCGACACTTCGCTATATAGAGGCCTTTGCAGCTGGAACTTTAAGCGTCCGCTTCTCGTTTTATCTACGGAGCATTTTTGTATAGAAAAATCCGCAGCAAGGAGGTTTTTTAAGAAACTCAGCAAATATTTTGTAACATTGATTTTTCAGTTTTTGTTCAAGGCTCGTTATATCGAGGGCTTACTGTAGATATCATCCTTTTTAATATCCTACTACCCTAATTATCTCCTCCGACCAGTAAACTGAATTATCTCAATCTCTACCCGTCTAATTTTTTTCGAAAGCGATGCATATCATTTGAAAAATAAATAAAAAAATAGTTGTTTTTGGGGGTCCTTGAGACCCATGGGAAAGAAAGGAAATATTTTATGTTGTATGAAATCGATGTCTGTTTAATTTGGTATCAGCTTAATAAGCACTTCTTACTTTCTTATTTATTAGATCGTACAAAAAAAGCACGCTGAGTGGAAGGCGGAAAGTCAGAACACACTCCGGAGCACAATTTATCCCGATTCTAACCATGTTGAAGCCACAGTCGATTTTAAGAATGCCAAGAATATTTCCTTAGAAAATCCAGAACGAAAGC